TCCGGGTCGTACTGGAAAAGAAACTTTCTGCAATCAAGTTCTCGATGCGAAACCCTCATCGCCAACGGGCAGCCAAAGAAACAAGAATGCGAAGACACGGCCACCGGGGCCAGACTTTGACGGAACCAGGGTTGTTAGCCGGTAAGGTGGAAATGTAACGGCGTCGGAGATCAAATCGGCGTGGTGTGCTTGGCAACCCGTTCACCCGCTTCATTGCTTCCAAAATCCATAACCTCGTAGGGGAAAAACTCCTCACATCGCCCGGCCTTCGACCGAATCGTCCCGAGCTTCCCGGACACCAACTGACCAGTCACCTCGTTGATCAGATCAATCGGCCGGCAAAGTAGGCAAGGTAAGCAGAGCTAGAGCGAACAATGAACCCCAATGTGAGGGTGTGACCGAGGGAGCTCACCATGATGTGGAATGGGGACGGATCGAATCTCATCTTAAAAATCCTGCCGGTGTGAAACAAACCGTCGCGTCTCTGCTCCATCCTTCCACAAAGGCTGCCCCAAAAATCATTTTAATGTTAATCTATATTGTCCGCAATGCGGGTTCCCGCAAGAACGTAACCTGCATGCTGCGATGCGAACCATTCGAGGGCGGGCTAGACTTGGACCAACAGGAACAAGGCCTTTGTCGTTGGTCCGCTGCAATGCGTCCTTTTTCGTGCCAAGCCCGCGGACGTCGCTCCTCAATCAAACGGCCGCTTGTCCCCTTCGAATCGAATACCTAATGGCTCAGGAAGTACTTTGGACCAGCGTCGTCGATTCTCATCTGCTGTACCACATCTCTGAATAGGTTCCAGTCGATGTCGTCTCACGATCCAAGACCTCTCCTCACGAATGTAAGCTTTCAATAGTCAAAAGGTCAACAACGGATGGGAGAGTGGTACGCAGTGCGACCATGGCGCATCAGACCCCTTATGTCGTCCCAACTTTGTGCGTCTGCAAGACGGGAGACTGGAGTTGGACAATTTGTCGTCATCGCCCTCTGGCTTTCAAGGGGGGCACAGGCCACAGGGGAAGCCCGGCGGAGGCACGGCACCCCTCGGTCTGAAGTGCTTGCAAGGTCATCCCAGAGGCAGGCGTGTGAGACTCGGATGACCGAGGAACTCAAAATGGCTCAAACCTGCTGTTCATGCGAGCGACAAGGGCATTGCGCTGTGATGTGTAGGTACTCATGTAGGGTTCCTTCCGGGGCACTGCTCCGGTAATAAAGCCAGTTTTGCAGCCGCAGGATAATCTTTCGACACCAGGCGCAGCTTTCAGGGGGTTTGATCCGATGTTCATCAGACTTCGATTTCACGTCCTCTTTGCTAAACAGATCCCTCGTCCGGGGGGGACACGGGCAGCGCGGGCTCCTGGGCTTAGCGAGCCGCAAGGCACCCACATACCTCTGATGCCGGACGGGGATTTGAACGTGAGATGTGACTCCGCCCTCGACCCAGTAGCCATAAGGCTCTGAAGTCTGGTTGGCTTCCCTGATGCAGATCGCTATATGGCAGGCTCAGGTCGGTGCAACTTCCTGTGAATGGGCGTTCATGGCGGCGGACCTAGAAACGCGAGCGGCGAACGCAGACCAGCTGTCAATGATCGTACACGGTCTAGAAGACACAATTAGTTGACAGATTGCAAGGCTAGAGCTCGAGATCGTAATAGTCTAATCGCGTGCGTCGCGCTACGTCTACGCACGGGCGAGACATCAGGCGGGTTTAACCTCTGCCACGTCGAGTGTGGCTGGACGGCGGCCTCTGTTCAGCTTCAACGAGACGGTGCGTGGGCTGCGATTGGTGACTTTTGTGACCTCAGTTCTCCCTGCTTCGAGTCTGCAACGGCGCATTCCATGAGGTCCTACGTCTCGCTGGACAGGCCATGATGCTAGTACGTTCATCTCGATTCCGCAAACAGGCGTTGCGGGCAGAAACGGCGGCCCGCCGGTAGTTTAGCTTGAGCGCAATCCTCTGTTTCTTTGAGGGTTCGTTCGTGATGGCGCATATAATAGCATGGATAGGTAGGTAGCCACGGTAGCACAGAATAAATCGAGCGTTCTGGTAGCGATGCCGATACCGACTCGAGCCAAGTGCGAAACGAGGTGCATGTCGCCTCAACACGCGGCATGGCGGCTGAGGCGCAGGTAGGGTGCCATCCATCACGAGGATCCTGGAGGACGTATCCGTATACGCGCCGCAAACGATTTGTCGTACAGGTACGCCGGAACAAATCATCGGATGAGAGAGATCGGATTCCTGTCGTAGGGGCCCTGTAGGCACCTCATCTTGGGTACTCGGGTGGCCTAGCCATTTGGCCATGGCGTCATTTGGCGAACCCTTCAAAAGTTGAGAACGAAGGAGTGGGAAGGAGCCCATCTTGTACAGTCAACTCGTAACAAGACGCATTCTCAGTCATTGGGATGTGCGATCCGTAGTGATTAAACACGGGCCTGGGCCGAACGAATACTGGCAGTCCCCTCCATCAGCGGGCTGTTTCAGCCTACTAACAATCGAGATGGGATTGGGGACGAGTGGTGATTGGTGACAGAGTGGGCAGGGGTGGTGGTCGAGTGGTTTGTTGGAGGCACGCCTGTCTTGTTCTCTGATTAATGTCTCGAAGCTGCCGCGACCGAGGCATGCAGGATAAGATTACAGATGGGATTGAATCAGGAGCCGCTTGCGCGTGAAAGCGCAAGCCGGTGGGCTTTTTGGTTGCTTGAATGCAGGCTCTACTCGCTCGAAAGGATGGATGCGTTCGGGAAGAGGTCGATTGCTAGAGAAGAGTGGCTGGCTGTTGTGTTGCTGAGTGATTCGTAGGCGTGGACTCCCGTCGTAGTATCGGTAGTGTTGGAGAGAAAGCACAGCCCGGAAGGTGCATTGGAAGGGATTGACATTGACAGCTGAAGCCTGAGGAGGTGGCCTCGTCTCGGCCTCCGTTGCCCGTGGATTGAGTTAGATTGATGATGCAGGTGCCGATGGTGGTGGGCTGGTGAGGTGGTTACCTCGAGGTGGGTGAGCTGTCAAAGTCGATTCCCATAGTGAAATTGGTGGTGGGGTACATTAGGACGTGTCAACCTTGGACATCTGCGAGCCGCCACTCCACCAGCCCCAGCCGGCCAAGCAGTGCTGCCAGTGTACGGAGTACGCATAGGTAAGGTAGGTAGTAAGTGCACGCACAAGCCAGCCCCCAAAGAAAAACCCAGCCCCGAACGACCCCGGCAAGTTGTCTTCTTGTTCCTGAATCCTGCTTGCAATGCCTGCTTTTCATTGCAGGGCTGCCGATGCTTGCTGGGACGCTGAGGAGGGTTGCAACTGCTAATTGCTCCGCACTTTGGGATGGGAGGGGCCGGATCCAGTCTGACGGAGCCAATGACGGACTTTGTGGTGCCACGGTGCCGCAGTCGTCCAGGCAGGCAGGCACGCTAGCAAAAATAAAATAGTGCCTTTCGTCGCGAAGTAAATGGAAGGATTGCGATGCTTTCCCTTGGCAAGTACCTTTTGGCTGCTGACCACGCACTCAAGGTACCTCGCGCGGCATGTCTTCCGTCCAATTACTGAGGTGACCTTTAATGCTTACCTAGGTACCTTAGTATACACAGTAAGGTAGCTTATAGGTAGGCAGATGCCGTGGTAGACACGCACACGTAGTTAGGCACGCCGCGTATTCCTTACCTCTTGGTACGAACACATCTAACCTAAGGTCCAGTGCCTTTTTTGCATTGCTGACGAGGTGGGCAATCCACAAGGTAAGGTACTTTCCACCTTAAACATATCGATGACATCCTTGTCAATCCCATCCCAACTTTCCCAACTTCCCAACCACAGAGAAAGGGAAGAAAAGGTCAATGTTCAGACACCCGGCCCCGTCGCAGGGTTCTCCGTGGCTGCCAGCTTTAAACTTGACGCCGAACTTACACCCCCCTCCCCCCCCCCCTCTACGCAGTAAGGTACCTTACGCAGTACACTACCTTATCACCTCACCCATTACCCTGCACTCTCTCTTCCGTCTCCCATCTCTTCCGGTGTCATTCACTCATTGTTCTGCTTCTGCCACCCCGTCAAGTTACATTCTTATCCAACCAACTCCTGGACACACCTCTCAAGTTTCTTCTTTCTCCTTACCAAGGTACTCCTTATCCTACAGGCATATGCTGCGGTTCTCGTCGCGGAATCCTCGTCTACTCCTCCCTACTCCTCAATTCTCAAGACCCTTGATGCTTGTTTCTCCTAGCATCGCAACACTACGGCACTGAAAATACTCAACCTCGAGGCAAAGGCAAACCCACTCCTCGAACTTCATCGCTCCAATCAACCTGTCGCCATTCCTCCTTCGTCCCACGTTCTCGAGTCCCACCAGCCCTCCGTGGTCAGCTTCCGGTACCTTGATCCCCCCTGGCCCTACCTCCTTGGTGATTTCCTCTAGCCAGCCGATTGGTGAGAGTCGAAGCAGACCAAAAACTACATCCGCAGTCAAGCCAAAGAGAAGAGAGGCAAGGTAGCAAAGGGGAAGGGGTAACGGAGTACGCAGTACGAATACTGCGCCGTCATCCCAATTATAGGGTAACCCACCGCCATCTGGGGGCCCTCGTTCAAAATGGACTTCCTCCGTTCTCACAGTCGCAAGGGAAGATCCCGCTTCTCAAAAGCCCTACCTACCCCTCCGTCTCCAAAGACCGAATCTCTTCCCAAATCTAAGCAGCTCCCTTCGATACCTCCCGTTCCTCCCCTCCCGTCTAAGAAGACGAAAACATTCGCCATGTCAGACAAACCGCTTCCACCACCGCAACCCCTCAGCCAGTCTCTCCCTCCCCTGCCTCCTCTCGAGACAAAAGCGTTGCCCCCGGTACATATACCTCGCCGTCCAGTTGCAAAGCAGGCACCACCGCCCACCGCCCCAGCGAACCAGCAGCAGCAGCAACAGCAACAGCAGTATTCTCCCGAGGACGAAAGGAACTCCATCGGCAGTCTGCTCTCGGCCTATTCAAGAAGTTCAGGGGAATCCCTCATCATGTCGCCGGATGGAAGCGCAAGTCAGAGAGACTCGAGCCAGGCATATACCTCTGAACATTATGGAACAAGGGAAAACAAGATTTTGACACCAACCTCGTTGTCATCCGGTGACAATGACCACTACGGCGCACAAAAGTTCACATCCAACAAGGGCCTACCACCTCACCCGGCCTACTACAATGAGCAGGCCGGCGCCGCTCCGGTCAACTCAGCACCCGCCCCGACTGCTGGCAGCCCGACAAGCTATGTATCAGCAGCATCGCCTCAGCAACAACAGCGACCACTATGGAGGAGGAGATCCGTAAAATCTGATCGTAATATAGAGGTTCCCGATCTACATCTCACAGTCAGCCACGGGTCAACCGCTGCTTCTTCTCAACCAAACACTGCGCAATCTTCATATACAGCAACTCCTCCTCCGGCCCAACAGCAACAATTCCCCCCTCGCAGCACATCAAATCTTCCCGGCAGAAATATTCGTCCAGTTCCCTCTCAAAGTCAAACGGCTCAAACGAACAACATGGGCCAGGAGGTCTCGCGGTTGAAGGAGAAGATTCACCATTTGCGCGATGGACAGGATGGCGCAAATGTGGGAACGTCTCACAGCGACACCGCGCTCTCGCCAACCCAACGCCTGCCGACTCCCGACTATGAGAAGGAAGATGTCAAAACGCCGGTTGTCGAAACAATCGTGTCGCCCGTCTCTCCCGCTTCCTCTCCCGAGCCTGGCCGCGAGCAATCGAACGGGTCCAAGCCTCCTATTCCCCGCAAGGCGGTCACAGCGCGCAACTTACACAACGCTCAAAGCTTGCCTCAAATGCGCGCGGATGGGCCTGTCACCAGCAGCGAGGCTCCCCCGACCATCACGAGAGATTTTGCAGTCAGCCCCGTTAGCCCCGATCCTCAGAACCAGCTGCCGCCTCGGGCCGCACCCAATAAGCAGCAGCAGCAGCAGCAGCAGCAGCAGCGGGAGTATGTGCCCTATGCGCCGGCACCCGGATTCGCGCAGGGAGATATGCGACCTGCCTCGAGAGATCAGCGCCCCAACCAAGAACCCGTCGAGTACCGCGAGCTCAAGGTCAAGGACCTGCCGCCTGCCGACCCTCGCGCGTCGTTCTTCCCCATGCAGGGTTCGGAGCCTCCCAGCCCCGGCATGATCTACAAGGCTCTGCCCTTGAAGGAGAGCATGCTCGACTGCTATGTCAAGCACCGCACCATGGACCGAACTCGCAACCGCAACTACGCCCTCACCTGCCAGACGTGCGGTAAGGCCGATACCGAGGACCGTTACAAGTGCCAGTTCTGCTACGTACGCATGTGTGCCTCCTGCCTGCAAATCTTCAACAGCAACCGCAGAGACCTCCGGAAGCTTGTGGCTCACTTGGAGGGCAACCCGCAGAGCGGCGGCTCCCAGGAGCGCCCTCCCACGGCTGCTGGCATTGAGGCCTCCGAGAAGGAAGAGCAGCGTACAGACGCTCAACAACAGCACCAGAACCAGCAATCAGTTACAGCCTGATTGCTTTCGAATTCCACATTTTCCAATTCTTTTCTTGTTTGCTTGGCATAGGGAAATCACATGGTCATTTCACTTCCAAGCGGTTTTTCAACATTCTCCCCGGCGGCCGGACTTTCACGGATTTCGTCAATACGGGGGAAAGGTTAACTTTCTGCATTGCGGGATTAGATAGAGAGAGGTCGATTGGTTGATACCCCTTCTCGCCCCAAGATACCAATGTTTGTGTATAGGAAGTCGTGGCCCCTAGGAAAAGGGGGGGAAAGGGTCACGCGCACATTTTTTCTTGTTTGTTGGAAGGGATTACTACTACTACTTGCTTGATGCAAGCTCTGAGCATACGAAAACGAAGCTTCATAACGAGAAAAGACAATACAGGCAAATGGGGAAAGACAGGTTAACTCCAGATTTGGGAAGGGTAGGCTCTCAGAGAGCCGGCACTGAAACCCCGACTACTCTTTTTTTCAAAAACAGAACAATTGAAAATAAAAATCTTCAAGCTCGTATATGCGGTGAACTGTGTTGCTACATATGTCCCAAAATCCAGGGACACACCAACGAGAAGCGCAACACTCCTTGTAACAAAGCAAAGGCGCGCGGGAACTAATTCCTCGACTCGCCCATCTGCAAGTGTGTGTCGGGGCACGACTTTCAGCGAAGAGCAATCAGGCACGTTGAGTTATTTATCGGATGCACCGGAAATTGCTGCATCGCGTTGGCGGACACGCGAGGGATGTTAAGAAGTATCCATATGGACTGGCAGGGAGGGGTCTCATCGGAGGGAAAAAAAAAGGAGGAAAAAAAAAATTGACCAGCTGAGATTCGCGAACAGACGGGGTGCCACTATTCGGCTCAGCCCGACGACGTTGGAGTCGAGGTGACCCAAGCGCCGGCGCTAGAAGACTCCTGGAGTCCTGCTGGGCGGCGGGTAGACCAGCCCGTTACCGCAATCCTTTGATCTTTGCTGCATTTTCTGATATTTGGTAAGTATACTGCTATCTTACCATAAACTCCCATCTGAACCTGATCCTGATCCTCACCCATCATCGGCCCCCCACCGCCGCCCGGGCCCCCAGCAACCCCCACACCGCAAAGAAACCGTACGGCGCGGCCCCTGACGTCGAATATCAACAATTCAACATCAACATCGCGAACCCTGCGGCCCTCTGGCGAAGATACCCACCGATTTCACTACGACCCTCATCAATCTCACATTGATGACTCTTTCCCTTACCCATCAATCGACCGAACAGCCGACCGCGCGCGCGGGGCCCGCGCAGAGAACCTCGAAACCCAGTCGCGACTCGTGCCGAGACCACACCATCGAGTATCGGGAGAGAACCGCCGACCCCCCGAACCGCATGATCACCACACACACCCCAGAGACCCCGGCGTAGTCATGTCCTCATCGCTAGCCCGCACCCGCTCCCTGCGGAAGCCGACGCAGGGCTCCTCAACCGATCTGCCCCCGACGACCACCACAATCTCCGTATCCTCCTCGGCTTCGATCACAGCAGCCAGAGGCCCCGCGAGCTCGACCGCAGGAGGAGGAGGAGGAGGAGGAGGAGGAGGAGCGCCATCAGCGTCGGCGCCCGCATCACACCGTCCCGTCTCCCCAAGCAGACTCCCCGCGCCCAGATCCCTCGCCGCAACACGTCCCACAACACGCACCGTCTCCGGCGCTAGCATCGTGAACAGCACGGTGACGGCCACAACCGCCTCCGAAGCGCCCAAGAAAAAGAGGCCGAACCCCTTATCGTCGTTGCTAAGCAGGAGCTCCTCCACGCGCCAACCAGCTTCCGCGACAACATCGACGTCGACAAGGCAGAGAGATGTGGCGGCAGGTGCTGGAGGGGGAGGAGGATCAACCAGCTCGGGACCAACGAGCGCCCCTTTAAGCAGGACAAGCGCGCTCTCGGGCCTCACAAGGACGTCTTCGACCAGGGAACCGGGTCTGACACGGACACGATACCCCGCAAACGCTTCGACGAGCAACCTCAGCCTTGTCTCGTCATCCAATGCTACTGCAGCAGGTAGAACCGGGGCTGGCTCCGGACCGTCGACGCCGACGACAGCGAGACCGACCACCTCGGGCGGTCTACCATCCTCAAGACGTGCCGGCGTAACAGCGACGACTTCGACAGCAGCAGGGGCTGGAAGCCCGACAAAGGGCCACGCGCGCGCAAAGAGCGTCGCAACCCTGAACAACACCACCGTTCTCCGACCCCCGAGCCAGACATCGTCTTCCGGGGCCGCTGGCCCTGCACCGAGATCACGCCCGACGTCCCTCTACGGGGCGCCTCCCACGTCTTCCTACCCATCTTCAACAGCATCCACGACCACGAGGCCCCGTCCACCCTCCGCAACAGACCGCCTTTCTTCGAAACCATCCGTATCCTCCCTCTCCTCCACAACAACCACAACATCAACACGCACAGCCCGAGCAGGCAGCACAACAACAGCACCACCACCACCCCGCCAGCCCCTAAAACAACCTCAAAAACCACCACCGTCCCACCAAGCAGCACCGCCACACCTCGCCCGCCAACAAGCGCAACAACGACACCCCTCCCCAACCTCACCACCCACAACCACAAAACCAGTCCTCCGGCCAGCCTTCTCGACCCTCCAACAGCACTACTCGCCCGCCAAATCCCTCGCACCAAAGCCCCTGACAGCGACCTACCTCGCCGCCCCATCCCCGTCAAAACTCCCCGCCAACATCGCCCTCACGGCAGAGACGTCCCGCCTCCAAACAGAGCTCCTCCAGCTCCACCTCCTCCACCGCGACCTGCCACAGGTCACGTCCCAATGGCACGCCAGCGCCCGCTCCAAACTCGCCGCGCGCCACGCCGACCTCGCGGCCTCCGCAAGAAGCCTCGTGACCTTGGAATCCGACGCCGCGGAGCGCCGTAACCTCGCTGCCCTACAAAGCTGGGGAGCAACTCCATCTACCGGCGGCAGACCGACATCATCATCATCATCACCCTTACCGCTAGAAGATCGCATCCAGCGCCTAGACGCCCTCCTCACATCCCTCTGGTCCCTCGACAGCCCAGGCGGCAAACACCACCGCCTCGTCCGCACCTTCGAGCGCTGGGCCTCTTCCCTCGCCGACCTCGAAGCCGCCCGCGCCCGCGCAGAAGACGGCGCCGACCCCTCCGCCCTCCTAGACGACAACGCAGACGTCCGTTTCGGCGGCGGCCTCGACGCGCGATGGAAAGAAGAGGCCGCGGCGCTGGTGAGGCGTCTCGAGGGGTGGGATGCGCAGCTGAGGGAGCTAGAGTATGGCGGCGATGATGACGAGGACGCGGCTGCTGGTGCTGGTGCTGGTACTGACGCTACTGCGCAAGCGTCGAGCCTGAAGCGCATGTTGGATGGGTGCAGTAGTCTCGTCAGGGACATGCTCGACGAGCTGGCCGTCATGGAAGACATCGAGGCCGCGGCGGTGGAGAGGGAGAACGAGTGGATCAAGAAGATGAACAGGGAGGGAGACGACGGCCGCGGCAGAGATATCCAGAGAGCCGGTGCCATTTGGAGAGTCATTTAGGGAAACAGTCTCTGTTCTGACTGATCCTGTATAACCTTACCTCACATGCCTAAGCCAGCAGGCAAGCAAGCGATCGTTACCGGAAAGGCATTCCATGCAAAAAGTGTCTCGGCGTCAAACTCATCAAATGTCAATGTTTGTTTTGATGCTCCCTCAACACAACTTCCGCTTTTCCCTATCATCCATCACTTCCGCTGTTGGTAATTGATTCATCGTCCCCCATAACAATACTTTCCACAACCAATTACCTAATTGTACAAATCAAAAGTTGTTTTGTTCTGACTGCAATCTCCGGTGCTTTGCAATTTCGGCCCGCATACACCGTTCCCACCCTTGTGTAACCCATCAAATCAATGCTTCAAGCCAGGTCAAGTCGCCGCCCATGGCGAATTTCCACCATGCAACTCCTACAACGATGGCAGCCGTGCTCGTGGCCAGCATCCTGCGGACAAAAGTCAACCTGTCAGATATTGTGAGGAATAATGACAAACAAAGGAAAAGGTAATGAGAAGAACATGAGCAACCGATCCACTGTGCTATGCGAACCGGAATAGAGAGATGACCTTACGCCTTTCTCTTGCTGCCGAATAATCGGCTAAACAGTCCACCGATCCAGTCTACGAATAATACGCGGAAGAAGGCCGAGAGCCAGCCTCCTTTGCTGTCTGTGACGCTGTGTATCGAGGAAGGAGTTCCAGGACGCTCGGTCGATGCCGGCCCGCGCTTTTTGAGCTGGCCCTTGTGACTATCATCGCGGCCGGAGGTTGATGCCTCGCCGCCAGGGCTCGAAGCAGAAGCCCTTGCCAGTTCGCCGTCCTGGCGGATGCTGGAGCTTGCTCTGTCTTGGGGCGGCTCAACGCGGATGGCAGGGCTATCAGGCTCGGCGGGTCGAGTCTTGAGCGACAAATCCCTCGAGTGTTTGCCGTTGGACTGGCCGTTGGCAGCAGGTGAATCTGAGCTTGACGACTCTGAGCTTTTCCTGGACTTGGAGCCTTTCATAACGACTCCCTCGTCATCGTCACTCCCGGGCGATGTAAAAACATGTGGTGTCGGCCGTACGGCGGGGCTCGGAACTCTGATCAAGCCCTCATTCTCGCGATTGGCCTCATCGGCATTCGGAGTCTCCTTATCCTCTTCGGCAATCGATCCCAGAGAAAGGAGCGATCTGTCCGAGACCATGGAGCCGTGTGACTTTCGCGGAAGCTCCAGCCTCTTGGTGGAACCTGGACTAGAGGGGCCTGACGAAAGGACAGCTTCATCGAAGTATTGATCAGCACTGGCTCGGTGTGATCCATTTATAGGTGAAATGGGCGCGCCATATAAAGCAGTTTGATCTTCGTTACGCCCAGTCTCGACCTTACGCACAGCATCGATGATTCCGTCCCTGTTAGAGGGCCACCGCTCGAGGGTGGGATCATTGAGGTCATACTTGTCGACATCGTACTCTACAGTGCCATGATGATCGTAGTCTTTCGGAGTTTCATCTTCGTCATCGGCTAAAGGCTCGTAGGGTCCAAGAGCTTCGTGAGCGAACAAAGGTGCGGGACAATCGTCTGAATCCTCTCCCTCAAGGTCCTATAATTCTGTCAGTCACGGCTCTTCATTTACTAGTCTGCCGTTCATGTGGCTCATACCTCATCAGCGTCCAACTTCTGGGCAGAATCGGCAACCTCAGCCGCAGTGCTCGCAACTTGTTCAATCGGCGTCGAAGACAGACGTTTCCTCTCCTCGTCTTTAAGGTGCTCCACGCCCTTGGGGAGCGGTGCAAGTCTAGACATGTCGACCTCGGCGTCAAGTTTCTCGGCGGTATCAGCGACCTCTGCGGCGGTGTCCGCAACTTGACCAATCGGGGTTGAGGAGAGTCTTTGCCGCTCCTCGTCCTTGAGATGATCTTGGAGCTTTGTTTTCGGCTCAAGCTGGGCAGCAGTATGGTCTCTGGCAGCTTCTGAGGCGTCCACGTCTTCGGAAGTTGAAGCGACTTTGCTTGCAGGTTGGCTGTCGCCGTTCACACCGTTGAGCTGCTTCAATTCTTGAGACGCAGGTGCTGTCAGGAGATTGTTGCGATTGCCAGATCCGTCGGTGACTGTAGATTATCTCATGTTAGACGAGCTTGCTGACATGCAGTACTGCGCAGCTTGGGGGCAAACATACCTATAGCTGCAGTCTCGTTAAGAACCCACCAGTCGCCTAGACCAACACGGAACTTGTACTCGATCTGCGTGTTCGGTCGAACTTCAATGTTCTTGTAGAATGTGTGTTCTCCACCATCTTCGGTGGTGAAGTCCATCTCCTGGGGCTCCCATTTTGGATTTGAGAAGGAGCCGGCGACGAAGATAGGAGGCTGCGTCCCGGGCTGCTTGTAGGTGATGGTTACGGAAACCATTGTCGACGACGGCCTCCGCAGCGAAGTAGGTTGAAGTTGGGAAGCTCAACTCTCGTCGTCACTCGGCCAACTCAATCACACGAGGAAGAGCGTTTGGAAAGGTGGGTTTTCTTCGTTGGCTGCCCTTCTATTACGGCTTAAGTCAGCACAGGCAAGAGAAACCTTTTGGGAAGGAAAACTCGATGGAAATGGCAGAAAAGGAAGCCGTTCCCTAGGAACCCACAGCGAGGGTGGCGGGTTGAGATGGGCAACAACGCTGACGAATGCGGCTGTCTCTGGGCGATACCTTAAGATGCGGCGCTAGTCGTGGGAAGCAAGTAGGCGTCAGGGTGATGGGATTGACTTTTTGGTGAGAAAAAGAGATGGAAGAACACAAACGGATGCGAGACAATTCTACGAGAGGAATTTGGAGTGTGGAGTCCCCGGATGAGTGTTTCACGCAACGACGCCAACAAGGAAGATTCGGGGGCTGCGTATTTTGTGCGAGTGAAACGGCTTTGAGGGAACGAGCTGGTCGGGGTTTGGAAGAGTACGAGGAGAAGGGGGCAGAGCTTACCACAGCAAGGCCGTACGGAGGCCGGAGCAGGAACGTAACGTGCAGATGCTTCGAGCTGGGTGAGGGGAGCTCAGATAGCAGAGAGATCAAGAAGCCGATACCTTGTTCTGGGTGAGGTGTGTGGGAGGTGCAGCAGCTCAGAACAGGGAAGCTGCGGCACAGGAGGGGTTCATTGCATGATTATTCCGTATGTCGTATGTGCCATGTCAAAGGTTGGGGTGTGCCGGTCGGAGAGGAAGGAGACTGGGAAAGAGGTTGGGAAGGACGAGGTCAGGGAGGAAGCTAATTACTATCCAAGTAAGTTGAGGCAACACACTTGCTTACTTTCAGCTTCCTTACTTGCCCGAGTTTAAAAGCAATGTGATTTGCAACTGGCGGTCGGGTACTTTGTTTGCCATGGCTTCTGACACTATGAGAAATAAGACCCAGGCTGGCTTATCAGCAATTGAGCTGGATTGCACCATCTGTTTTGGATGACACAGGGCAATCGTTGGTCCTTGTTGAGACGAGAATGGGCCAGAGAAGTAGAAACCTGTGCTGAGGCATGAGACGAGATTGCCGCTTCCTCTCTTTCACCAACACTATCCCTTCCTCCCGTTTGATCCAAGTTTTGTTGGCGATTTAGCTCCCGACACAACGCTCGATGCGAGACCTGAAGCTCCCGCAAATCATTGCCCCAGCATAAAATAGCGGTTATCAGCACCGCAGTCAATGGCCACCTAGCTGCTCCATCTCAGCACCGGCATGCTTTGTGCGTCATCATCCCTGATGCATCCCGAGACCAGGGGAGTCGCTGGGACATGCCCATTGGCTGCATTAGCCCCCGTTTCCAAAGTATCGGAGACTTTCTAGTACCGCACGAGCCATGCAGCTCCACAGCCGCCGGGCTAAAGCTGACCGTGGGTCCCAGTGGGCGAAGTTGGAACTGGAGGGCCTGGCCCAGACCAGGACGGCAACTTCAGACATTGAGCTAACAGCCACCTCCATCATGCCAAACAAGCTCCATGGAATGGGTATTTCTCTGGCAATCAACTGCAATTCTATCTCAAATGTTTGTTTATCAACCAAAGTCGCACAATTCTTCTGCACTGCAGACGGAACCTACCTCACACATCAACACCATAGGCTCTTCATCTCAGCACTACTGCTCCGAGATACACATGCAGGCGTGATGGCTGGTCGTGTGCAAAACCTCAAGCTAGCGTCCCCTGTTCAAAGCCCAGACAAGTGAGGAAGGGCAACTGTTGAAGAGGTTTCGAATGTCACCAAGCTCAGCGAGAGCAGGGACCAGCTCCCCATGTCTCAGCCATCTCAAAATCTACGAAAACCAATAAGATAGCCTTCAGAATACTTGAGAAGCGTCCCTGGATAAATCCATGCGCTCAATTAGTTGTATCCCATCCAGCATCTAGAACTGTGACGCTTGTGCTGCTTAAAAAAGGTGGGAAACTCGACTGTGATCGGAAATGGCGGGGCTTCCAATTCTCCCATCCCCAGCACCGGCGTATTTTCTGCCGAAAGCGGTAGGTCCTTGGCCAATGACGTGATTCCGCGATAAGGATCTCTTATCTCAGCTCTAGGTGCAGCACTCTGTCATGAGGTGGTTCTCGACATGTGGTTACCGTGTGTCTTAGCGGCTGCTTCCAGAAAAATCCGCCTTCCAGAAAAAACATCGTCAACCAGGACTGCATGAATTGTAACGTCGCAACGGATCCAGTTCAATCCAGAAACCGTCTATGCAACTTTTGAGCGCTTGATTTCTTTCTCGGCATTCGCAACAACTCGTTCACGATCCCAACAACACCCCCGTTCCCTGCGTTTTTCTACTTTCACAGTCTCTATTATTCTCTCTCGCCCACCATGTCTGCCCCTCCTCAACTGATCCACATCAAGAGGAAGCGGGGCGACGAAGATGCTCCGGTGACCTATCTTCGTACGACCGCTCTCCTCTCTTTACAATCAAGGAACGGACAAACTAATAGGAGACAGAACTCGAGCCGGGATCCAAGCGACATCTAGCCGGCAGTAGCTGGGTCTATCAGAGGCGCCTCGCCAAAGCCA